GTAGTGCTAATTGACTAAGCCGATGTTATGTATAATAATCAACTTAACTAAAATATATATATATATATATCTCGATCTTTGACCAATCAAATCGATCAAAGAATATAATAAATTTTAATGCCCGTTTTAAGATCCAAAATCCACATTGCAGTGAATTTATGAAATACCCCAAAATTTTAAAACTTTACTAATATGTAAATATAGATTTTGACTGATAATCAATATTTTTAATAAATTTCTATGTCTAATGAGATGCGTCGGGAGTGGGAAAGATGGGTTAGACGCGTTATCAATCTAGATCAGAGGACAACCATTGATCGATTAATGTGATATAATTTAGTAACTAAGGTTAAATTTAGGGATCAAATGCTTGGATTTGGTGTCCGAATTTTTTAGCTTAATTTCTAAATTCGCCGTGATGTTCTGAATTTATAGAATTTCGAATCCATTCGCAACATAGATTTTTGATTAGGAGTTCTATAACGTAAATAAATAAATTTAAAATGAGATCAATTCTATTTTCATTTTATTTTTATTAAGGGTCGACCTAGCCGGCTAAGTCGCCGAATCCACTAATTTAATATGGTAAATTTTTTTATTTTATTTTACAAATTTTAAAAGTGTGTTTATAAAAGACATGTGCTTATCTGTTATACGTAATATCAATACGGAGAAAGGTCCAGAAAGAGTTTGAGAAAAATGTGATTAAAGTTTGTGTTACACGAAATTTCAATTCTAGGTTTTTATCGATATATTTTTGGTACGAACATAGTCATGCTTGAATTCAATTCGTTGTTAAGTGAACAATCTTCTGATTGTTATTGATTAGATGTTATATTTCAATAGTCTTCTAGTGTTACAAATCGGACCAAAAAATACAATCGATTAGTTGGTTAAAAATTTTTTAAATATCGATTAAAAATCGACTAATCGATTAGTTAATTAATCGATTAACTGACTGGTTGATATATAAAAAAATGGCTTGGATATAATTGCGTAGCCACTAGGGTTCCAACATCCAAGCCGCAACCGATCAACCGAATCGAAAGTAAACTGGATCATAATTTTGACAAACCGGGTTAATATAACACAACGGGTCACCCGTTTGATAAACCCGTTAAAAAACGGGACATCTGAGTTCTTTTATTAAAAACATTATGCTGACACTGCAACGATATTTCTATAGATAATCGGATATCCGGATCATCAGATTAGGGTTACCCGATTACAATCGGGTGACCCGTTTTTAATCGGATAATCGGTTTTAGTTTCGGGTAATCGGTTACAACCCGGGTTTCACCAGACGGGTCACGGTTGGAGATTTTCAAACCGGTTTGGAACCCTAGTAGCCATTAATTACAAGATCAAAGTATGATATATACCATTAGGGTTCAAAACCGGTTTGAAAATCTCCAGCTGTGACCGTCTAGTGAAAACCAATTATCCGAAATTAAAACTGATTATCCGATTACAGCTGTTTTCATAAATTCTGGGACACCTAAAAATTTTTTCGTTTCCCGAAACCTCTTCGATCTCATTCTAAGAATCACCTACCTTTTCGGAAACTACTTCGCTGTACTTGGAACTTCGATATGGAGACAGCGAAGTAGTTTCCGAAAAGTTAAATGATTCTAAGAACAAGATCGAAGAGATTTCGGGAAACGAGAAAATTTTTAGGTGTCCCAGAATTTATGAAAACAGCTGTAAAAACGGGTCACCCGATTGTAATCCGGATATCCGATTACCTATAGAAATATCGTTGCAGTGTCGGCATAATGTTTTCAATAAAAGAACTCAGATGTCCCGTTTTTTAGCAAGTGACCGTTTATCAAACGGGTGACTCGTTGTGTTATATTAAACCGGTTTGTCAAAATTATGATCCGGTTTACTTTTTTTCGATTCGGTTGATCGGTTGGATGGTTATCCGGATTGGATGTTGGAACCTATATACTATATAAAACAACCAGTCGATTAGTCAACTAATCGATTAACTAACTAGTCGATTAATTAGTTAATCGATTAATTGTCAACAATCGATTAGTTGTCTAATAAATTATTAATCGATTAGTTGCCAATTCGGTTAATTAATCTATCAATCGATTTTCGATTTGGAACACTATCTTCTCACCAAAAAGCTGCCATCATGTGAAAATCGAAAAATTCTTTAAAGTTCGTTTAGATTAGAGTTAGGGTCTATGCTAAAGTTAGAGTTAAGAAGCTCTAATAGTAAAATCACTCAAGAAAAACTTCTGTTAGAGCACTAAAGACAGGGTTGTGAATAGTCAATAGACACAATAGATAGTCTATTGGTCTAATGGGTATCTAATTGAATTATTAGACAATAGACAAATTATATAGTAATAATGATTTATTTTTTGTAATTGTATCCTGAATAATACTACAATGGTAACACATTCAAAATTAAGATTTTGCTTAAATATACAGTATATCCAGTATGTTTAGAGTATTTGGTTTATATAAAAACTTATATAAAATTATTCTTGTCAACCAACAAATCTTAATAACAAATATAAGAGTTCTAAATATAAGCTATTACTGTATAATAAATATATTACATGAATAGGTGTTAATAAAAAAAAGTTTGATATAGACAAGAATCTAAAAACTAACTAAAAAAAATTTAATTATAAGTTATAATCCCAAACAATCAAGCTTTAAATATTTGTTGAAACTGTATTGAAAATTATAATCAAAAATTATAGCAAAATATAAAAGTAATTTTTAAGAGAACATCCATAATTTACATTAAACCAGCATTGTTATAGGGATCTTAAAGATAATACAAAAATAATGCTATATGGAGTTATTTTCAAGGTTCTATTTTTATACAATACTGTACTGATTTAACTAAATTATAGATGTTCCCTAATATAAATAATAATGAATTTTTAAAATATAAACAAAAAAGCAAATCATTATGAATTAGATAAACCTTTAACTTGTTTATTTATAATAAACATTTTAAAAGTGTCTAAGCTTGTCTAAAGTAACAACTATTGAATCTAAAATATTAATTTATCCAAAGTGCAAACTAAATTAGTAATATCAAAATACATTATCTTTGTTATTAGCAAGATAAGCAAGTTATTATATAATTGTTCATTGTTGAAATAAATTAGCTAATATTTAGAATTGATAAAAACTGTACAAGTATTAATTGTTTTATTTAATTATTAAAGCAATAAACATAACTACAATTAACAGTATATATAATTCTAATATTATACAGTATCATAATACTTGCACATTATTTAATTTTATTTAAATGATAATAAATACTCTAAATAAGCTCTTTTATTAATTATATGAGCGAGAAATATATTTAATAACAAAATAAAGTTTTTTAAAAAATTTTTTTAAAAAAAAACTTCTATAAACTCTAATATAGCGTGTAATAAAAAAAAAAAAAAAATCAAAATTTCAACTAATTTTTATCTACTGACACTTCATTATTAGTTGATAATTCAATAATATCCACAGTTAACTATTTCATTCGCCTTATTTCTAATAAATTTCATCTCTTTTTCTTTTCTTAATATTTCTCATTTTTTAGTTTCTACAATATAATGTGATGCTACCATATTTGAAACAAACAGACCTTCCAATTTCTTTTTATATTAAATTCAATTATATCATTTAAGCTATTCCTCTTAATTTTTTTTACACTTCTTGTAAACTATATTACTGTATATGCTTTATTTTAATTAATTACTAATCACGCTATATCGATATTTGACTTCTTAGATTGTTAAACAATTCTAAACCTAATGCAAGAGCTATTCTTAGCAGTAAAGCTTTTAGCATTAAGAATTTATTAGTGTTGATTATGATATTTTCTTATATAATCTGGACTCAACCAAATCGAATAAACATTAGACAATTAGACCATTAGGCAATTAGACCATTAGGCAATTGGACTATTAGGCGATTGGACAATACTATCTTTGATTAGACTATGTCTATTCACAACTCTGCTAAAGGTAACTAAACAAACTATTAAAAATAAGCATATAATACAATTTCAGGGTTGGTCAAATCATTGGTCGACCAAAAATTCGTTGGTCAAACTGGTCTGGTCAAATTGATCAAATGGCCTAGTCTATTAAATAATATACAAAGTAAATATACAGTATATAAATACAGTATATATGCATATACAGTATATACTATATATTTAAATATCCTTTGACCAATTTGACCAATACTAAATCTTTGACCAACTGGTCAAATGGGTCAAATTGGTCTGGTCAAGCTTGACCATTGACCGGTTCGTGCCAACCTGTAATTTTTTATTAAATTATTCTTTATATGTAAAATTAGATGCTAAAACTTTTTTTTTTAATAGCCCAAAGCTATTTTTTGTAATAAAATTTTGCGATATTGATAATTTTTTAAGGACGATTTTAATGCTCACAGAGGTGAAATTCTATCGGAGATGCCGTATCTCAAAAACGTATTAAGTAATTAAAGTCAGAGTCTAAGTAAAAATGTTTAAAACCTCTTGAATCTTAAATCTAATCTACATTAGTTATATAAAACTTCTCTTTTATCCTAAAACTGTACCCTAACCCAAAAAAACTTTTAGAATGGTGAATTTCACTGGTGAATATTAAATAAATTCATTTTTTAATTTTTTTTTCTAATTTCTTTATTTTGTTACTCAAGAACCTGCAGCCTAATTGGCAAATCATAAAGTAGTTAACATCACCAAGGGGGTTTTTTTTTTCTAGATTAATGTGATTTTCAAAAAGTTTGTTTTTTTTATTTTCACGTTACACCTGACTTGGAGTAACATATTTAGTCTTCAGAACTATTTGATTCAAAAATACTTTAGTCATTAATGAAAGATACTACAGTATATATAAATTCAGCCCAAAACAGAAACTACTGAATTTTCAAAAAGGAAAGAATAAATAACCACAATTAATGGTATAATAATAAATTAATAAACTTAGTACATCCTCTTCAGCATAATTTTATTACAGTAAAATGGCAACACTTCCTCCCAACCTAAAAAAAAAAAGTCATTCGTCAAAATTTACAATAAAATTTTTTTAAAAGAACCGAATAACAAATAGATAAAATACCTAATGCTTTGGCTGCTATGTTCCGAAGCAATAACTAAATCTCTTTTTCCGTCACCATTAAAATCAAATTTTATGATCTTACTTCCAAATCTTGCTCTTGATTCTTTACTTTTCATACATGATTCAGCTAATTTAAAAGTTTCAGCATTTGAAGTATCTCGAGAGGATAATAGAGATTTTAATGGATAGCTATAAATATGGCCCGCCTCTACAGGTAAAAAATACACATTAAGTATAATTTAATATAATTTTATCCTTCTTTCAGATATTTCTTTTCAAGCCAAAAAAAAAAATAGATATATACCCCAAGAAGTAAGTGGTTCTGAAATCCAAAGAGAATTTTTAGCGTCATCCCAATATACCGCACTTCCAAAATGAGATGCTGACTCAGTTCCTCGCAATATCGACAATAACCCATTTCCAACACTCATATAATCATCAGATAATAGGGTTCCTTCCTTTAGATAATTCATATTTACCACACGAACAGCACCGGCTTGCCAGAATTTATTGTATAGTGGGAATCTCTGGATGTTTGTCTAGTAGTATAATGTTTATTAGTTGTTTTTTAAAGTAAAATTGTTGAATGCTTGATATTTGAGAATAGAAATTTGCTTACTTCTGATTGAGAAGTGATGACCAAAAAATCGCCAGCATCGTCAAGAAAATCACCAGAAATTATTGAACTAAATATAAATTACACCAATAAAAACTTAAACTCTTGACAAAATATAATAATAATAATAATAATAAAATTACCTTCCGATTCCTTGAAATTCTTCAGTCCCACTCAGATCAAATATTTTCAAAGGAGTCATTTTATCATCATCACTAATTTCAAATCCATAAACACGACCAGCCCACTGTGTTTTTAATTGATTATTGTATCCTGGTGCACCAACAATTATTATTGGAGTATCAGATTTTACACCGTTATTTGTTTGTCTCCTATGATGAACCGCGATAGCTGCTCCAAACCATTCATAATTTTGGCCACTTTGACTATGCAGTGACCAATCACTATCGAATATTGTCTTATTTCCAATATGTTTTCTTGAACTTAAGAATGAGAATATTCTTCCGGTTTGTAATACGCGCTTCTTTGATTATTGAATAATAATAATAATGATAAGAAGAATGAATAAATTGATTTTAAATTGATAGAATGATTTTTAAAACCTGCCTTTGGTGGACTATGAAGCCCACAATAGGGACATCCAATCAATAAATCCTTAAATCCATCATTATCGATATCACCTGAAGCCAAGACTTGACCCATTTCTTCAATTTTCCAATCATTTTTAGCCGGTTTAGCATCTATTGAAATCTCCAAATCCGGTTGACGAGATAATCCATTTTCAAGTGTTTTAAATAATTTTGATATCCCAGTAGGTTCAGCATGTCCAAAATACACATAAACTTTCCCAGTTCCAGATATAAACCGGTTATTACCATATGATGGAGCACTTATTGCTAAATCATCTATTCCATCCGAATTTAAATCTACCACAGCTAGGGACCAACCAAATCGGGACTGAGGAACAGGATCAATTGCATACAAAATTTGATCAGAGAGTTCGAGAATGTTTGTTGATTCAAGTGGTGGTCGTAATGTTGATTTGCCATATAAAATAAATACAGCGCCCGTATGGGGAACATTTGTATGTTCATCATACAAGGGTGCACTGATTGCTATAAAGAAAAAAAGGTTTTAGAAGGTTTTAGAATAATTCTTTCAAATATATATATTCAAATTAAAGACTAAAATCACCTAAATCTTCAATTCCATCGCCATTGAAATCTCCAGTCACCATATCGTGACCAAACAATGAATAAGAATATGGTAAGTCTAGATTTACAAATAACTTTGGGTCTGTGGGCACAAATTGACACCTTGAAATCCAACTAGAATCATCGATCCTATTATTCATTATTGAATAATCCGATGTTAATTGATGACGATTTACTCGCCGTGATGATGAAATTTGAATCTGTAATTGTGGAGAGCCATTCGGAGAAGAAATAACATCTTTAAATATTTGATGAAATTTAACACTATCTTTTAATTTCTCCTCGAAAAATGACGAAAATGTCCAAGAATCTTTTGATTTCTGATGTATTTTATAATGAGTTATACCATGTTTATCTTTATAATGATTCAAAGTAAAACCGCTTGCAGACAATAATTCGTATGAATATGTACGAAAGAATTCATTAAAATCGGATGTATTTCGTAAACCAAGATTATTGATGGATGAATTTTGATAAGATTCTTTAAAAGGGTCACATAATGATAAGAAATCACTTTTTGGACCTTTTTCAAGCCAATTAGATAAACTATGCCAACAATCGTGTACATCTGCGGCCATGTTATTTATACCTAAACGTCATACATGAAATTTCATTAATTAAAAGCGAACAATTAAAGGTTTGAAAATAAATTATTTATTTATTTGGTTTACCTCCACGATAGTATTCTTCCAATTTTTCAATCAGAAAAGGTGACTGAATAAACCAAAAGTCAGGAAAATTAAAAATAATTACAAAAAATCAAGATAATCATACATACCTTTTCACCATAGGTTGGAAAAAAAAGTTTTCCAAACCTCTATAAAATAATGAATCATTATTTGACCATCTGAAAAGAACTAATACAATGATGGGCATTTTCTCACTCACTTTATTAGCCTGCATGGCAGTAAAGGCTTGTTTAATACAATAGTTTATATGCTTTTTCGAAACCGTTTTGTTAATTCTTTCATATATTTCTATTATATCATCGATAGGCACCTGCCATTCATCCTAAAAAAATAAATTATAAATTAAACGTGACCAATATTAGATACTGTATAACGATAATAGTGTAAATACACGATAATAGTGTAAATACCTCTAGATAATCCAAATCAACCATATGTGAAAGAGTGAATTCACCACCCATATCAGCCGCAGAATGTGCCGCTTCAATATCTTGCTTAAAATTAACCTCAGCCATTGTAGCTATAAATCCATCATGAATTCCTCCTAAGCTATGAAATGAAACATCTGCTACCCCATGAGAGACTATCGCGTATAGAAAAGAAATTACTCCCTTCAAACCAAGAAAAAAAAAAAAAAAAATTTAATATGGTATGATAATCAAAGCTCTAATATACTGTATATATTTAGAAATATTTTATTAATGCGGACCTGCGCCACTTCATCCTGTTCCCACGATTCGCTTCCATACTTTTCGCGAATATGATCCGTGGCTGCTTTGATGAAAGGAGGCCAGTGAGCTGAACACACACACATATATATTTATTATTATTATTATTTATTTATTTATT